TTTCTGATTACGGGTATCTTTAGTGTCCCCCAAGCATTTTGTTTATTTCATTCATCACACACTCTTTGATCGAATATTCTATTAATATTTGGTGAGGAGTAAAAATTACGAAACTCCTCAGTATGCTGTTTTCTTGATCCTGTTTTTACTTACTCTAACTTTGTTGCAAATTTCTACCTGAGGACGATGTTATCAAACACTATCGATCATGCCCTTTCTTTATCGAGAGAGGTCAATTGTTAAACACACAAAACATAAAAAACAAAACAAACTCCGTGGCTTAGTCCGCAAGCGAACCATACCGACCTAGCGACCGCCGCTTGTCGGCTAAGCTAGTGCCAACTTTAGCGGATAGAGGGTGTCGCGTGGTCAGCGCAACGAATCCCCACGGCCGTTAATTTCGGTTTTCTAGACCGGAACCTCTACTTTCCCAGTCAAGTAGCTCCTCAATTATCCTAACGCGGCCGAGTGGACCCCATTTCAGAAAATCTGGTAGCGCCCGGAATCGAACCCGGGACCTCTGGATCCGTAGCCAGGCACACTGACCACTAGACCACAGAGGCGGTCTCACAAAACATAAAGTAAAATTAAAGTCTTATGTTTATATTTTTATCCATATATATTTGTATAGAAGATTGAATATCAGAAGCTCTGAAATGAATGATGACAAATACTTCCATACATAATCTGCACTTAATATTTTTGTAAACATAATTTTTACTTGTTACTGTCATTTTAAAATATTGCCACGCGTAGGGTGGTACTCGTGACGAAAATAACTGGTTCTACATATTTCGGATGATTGGATTTTTCAGCACTTCGGTTATACTCTCTCTTAATTATAATTAGGTGATTTACACAAATTACAGTTCACCGTTACACATGCACTTGGATTCTCCGTCTTCATTAGTCGTCTCCTGGCAACGGATCTCAGCACAGAAACTAGCACTTCAAATCACTATGAAATCTTGTTATTTCGAATTCGATCACTCTGTACTCCTCTGTCCCAATCTGTACTCGACTAATCTTCGCAATTTACTAAGGACACGCCTCATTCTCGTCCTTGTACTCTCAACTGCTGAACCCTCCTGGACTCCTTTCCATGACGGCTTCATGTCCTTGACTCACGGGTTCTCAGCTATGACTGACTAGCAAGTTAAAGTCATATTGCGACTGACGGCCAATCTTTCAGTCATGGGGCTCATGAACAGATGTTTATTATTGTTTGACAGTTACGGTCTTCTTTTTGTGGGGCGCCCTCTCTGGCGAAAGACGGGCCTGTCTTTTGCATATGCTGCTGACTCTTGATACCGCAGTTTTTCTCGGGTCCAGAGTCCCTTGGTAGCTCGAGACCATATATTACTGTCTCAGATTTGAGCCTTCACTTTTCGTCGCCTCTTACGACTCGGAGGGTCACGGTGGAGGTATTCGACTACTAACTGGAAACGACCTTTACTGGCCCCTAAAAAATTTCGACACGGACCACATAGAAAATATCTATTATTATAGACGTGTTTACAGTTCTGTTGTTTAGCACTGGGCATGGCGCGGACCACAGTGAAAACAAGTCACGTGATAGCTGTCTCGCCAGTCCATTGGGGGGCTGATTTTTGCATAACAAGCTATAAACCTTCGTCCTGTTGTTACGTGACCTAGTGGGTCCCGTGTCGTAGATTTACGCCACGTAAAAGATCCTCATGTCTCTAGGAGACTTCTGAGCAAAATTAGGCAAACTTTCCCGCCCAAGTAGTTTCCAATGTCTCCGGTAGATGGGGAAGTATCGGGTACCACTGCCAGCCTCGCTGGCTGAACGGGGCTGATAGTGAACACCAGTACCGGAAGGGTATGGCGACTGGTAGAATATGAAAGGAGGACGTACAATAGACTATTAGTCGCGGTGCATGGGGAAACCCACCCCCTCTAATAATAATAATAATAATAATAATAATAATAATACGTGACCTAGGAATATACTATGTACCAAGAATCTGTCTTCGCGGGAAATTGTTCATCAACCCGTTGCCTGGAAATAGGCATAAATGTAACAATATTGAGTCGTTACCGCATTCTAGAACTGTGTATTAGCCGTCTTCAAGTTACGGTTTTGTTCTGCGTGACTGTGATATGATATGACCGTTTATTTAGGTTTTTATGTTATTTTACATATTTGTAGTTTATTTAAGACATTGTCTGTAATTTATACTACACAGCGCCGAATGATTGCATGAGAGTGAATAGTGAATTGAAAAGTTGTCATAGTCTAATTTTAGTGGTGAAACTGAGGAACACCACGACAAATCTGAGCCGCTTTCCACTTGAACCAAATTACACGTGAGCTCTCGCTGTAATGGCTAACCACTCTTTCTCGAACATGAGAGAGATTCTTTGTTTATCGTCTTGATATTTCGGCAAATGTTCTGGTACTATGTCATCGTTATCAGCATAGAACAACTACTAACGCGATGGAAGATATGCAGTTTTTTCACTCACTCATTGAGCTGAGCCCTTCTTGAGAAGCCTCCACTTCTGCAGCTGCTCAAGAACTCATAATTTTATGGAACCCGAAGGTTCATTACCGTGTTCACAAGAGCCCTCCACTGGTCCCTATTCTAAGCCAGATCTATCAAATCCGTACCATCTCATCTTATCTCTCTAAGATCCACTTTAATATTCTCCACCCTCCTACGTCTTGGTCTTCTTAGTGGTCTCTTTCCCTCTGGTTTTCCTACAAATATCCTATTTGAATTCCTCTTCTCCCCCATTCTCCAATTATCATTCTTTATTTATTTTCAAGCTAAATCCAGATAGTGATGACATTTACAGCGCAACCGCAGTCTTCCTGTTTCTTGTTTTAGCTATTAAGCTCGTAGAATGGAGGGAATGTTATGTAACAGAAGTGTGACTCGATGGACTCCAAAGCATAGCAGAATAGTAAATTAAAAGGAACTCCATACGGAAATTTTTCGTATTGTGTTTGTTGCATCCGTTTCAACTACTGCGCAGATAAATGAAGAGCATATGCATTTCTTAATTCACAACAGAACCCACACTGTTAACAGGTAGACCCCCCCACCCACGTCACAGGAAAAGATATGACGTTTACTGCTTGCATGTGACTTGTATGTGGAACCGACTAGTACCAATATTGACTGCTCAAAATGCAAGGAAACACTCCAAAGCTTCTGGCAGCGCAGCAGAACTCTACTGACCATTATTTCTTGTTTATGGTCTGAGTTGAAATGTTTCAGAGCTGATCTTTCGATGGACTGGAGTAACACTGAATATAGATACAAAATTCGGGATGAAAACCGGATGCGGAGCAGAGAGAACAAGACAGAATCCTCGCCAAATTCTGTTGTCTACACTGAGAAGAATGTAATGTTTTAACCTGTGCTAATTTCATGTTTTTATGTTTAATAAGTATCGCAAACTGTCTGTGAAAGTGATGAGTATAAATATAACAGTTAACCGCCATAAGATCTAAAACATTTCTTTGGTTTCGTCGTGAACCAGGTGAAAGTAACAGCCTATTTCTTTAAGGTTCACTTCAACAATATTTTGACATTCCACATCGTCCTTTTAGAAATCTCTCCAACAAAGTCTCATATGCATTACTTTTTCCATATGCGCCTTACAAGTCACGTATTCTAACAGAGATTTTTATGCTCTTCATGCCTGGCTTACGATGTTACAAAAACGTCTTAAAAAACAGGAATCAGTCAATTTTATGTTAGTTCTATCACCAAAATAATAAAGTTTTACGAAAAAATATGAAGATAATATTTGGGCCCAAGAAGGAAGAAGAAGAGGAAGAGTGAATAGGTTGCGTGGGTATGAGTTTCACTCAGAATCGCTGGAGTTTCGAACTTTGTCCATCGTCCCCTATTCTAAAAACTAGAACATACGTTTCGGAAATTGGATCTGTTTCCGTCCTCAAGTGAGGGGGGAGACAACCATTCTCTTGTGTCCCTCAGAAAGAGGGACTCAAATGGACGTAACAGAGTACGTGTCTCCCCCCATGACCTGAGGACGGAAACAGATCCATTTTCCCAACGTTTTGCTTTCTAGGTAGTTACTATAGGATTCTCACGATAGTGTATAACACACAGAGATACTGGGTTTTCGGACTTTATCCATCGTCCTGGTTTCAAGATAACTAAGAAAAACACGACGTTTCGTTAACTGGATCTGTTTCCGTCATCAGGTGAGGGAAAACAGCTATTCTGTTGGGTCCCTAGAAAGAGCTAGCCTCAATCCAGTTTCCGAAACGTCCTGTTTTTCTTAGTTATCTTAAAACCAGGACGATGGATAAAGTCCGAAAATCCAGTATCTTTGTGATTTCTAGGTCTTAGAACACCGGATGACGGACGAAGACCAAAATCCTAGTGATTCTGAGTGCTATAACCACTGTCAGAACCCATTAGAAACTAGGAGATTCACAATTCTTACTCATCACGTAATACGATTACAACGATTAAGCATGGACGAAGGCCTGGCAGGACAAACAACACGCATCAAGAAGCGAGAAACAGGCCTACTTGAAGCTGTAATTGAAAAATCTCAAGATTAAAGAACACGTTGAAAATACTAGCTTATCTGGGAAGACATTATCAAATTCGATAGTAAGGAAAGTGTTTGTGAAATAATGGACCGGCTCGAAATACCCGTTGCTGGGGAGAGGGCTCAGTGGTTTGTTTCACTCGTACGAACATTGCTTTATATTCTAAAATGTTTAGTTACCTTTCGTGTTATGAGCGCCCTGCTTTACGTTTAAAAAAATGAACGTAATGCAAATTTAAATTTCTACATTTCCGAATGCATATTTCCATTCCTGAAAATTGTTTCGGCCAATTATCACATATAACAGAATCATCTCTTGTTTGCACAACAAACACCCTTATAATTGTGTTGTTTCCGTGAATTAGTACTAACTATTGCTGTTTATTTTTCTGTACGTATCTTTGGATACTAATAGTAAATTGTACCCCCTCCCCTCACAGGGTACAGCAGTTACCCTGCAGACCAATATTGTGCCAGGTAATTGGCGAAGTCTTATGGCCGTGCGCAACCCGCGTCTTCTTCAGTTGTGCACGGCGTCTTGACGTCCTGACGTCACGACGCTGCACCGCGCTGATGTAGTCGAATGAGAGCCGCAGAGCAGTTCAGGTGTGATTATGGTGTGGTACTGCACATTCGTCTGGCTATTCAGCCTGGGATTTCGGGTTGAAGGCAAGGAACCTCCAATAGTGAACATCCCAGGCCAGGGACCAATTTCTGGGAAGGAAGTCTCGTTGTCGAGGTCGCAGAAGGCAAACGTTTATCTCGGAATTCCATTTGCACAACCGCCCAAAAGCCCACGGCTTAAGCCGCCGGTTGTGGATCCCCTTCCCAGTTGGACTGAAGTGAGAAACTCGTCATCATTCGCCCCGGCTTGTCCACAGGACAGAGACGCACTGAGGGAGCATGAGTACATCTTGAGCCAACTTATGTCCGAGCAGATAGAAGCGTTAGAATTCAGCGAAGACTGCCTGTACCTAAACGTCTTTGTTCCCGACGGTAAGTGGACCGGTTGACTAATTTCCTAGAAATATTTTTCGTTTCCGTCAACACAACAATTCTTTAAGAGGCATACAAATGAATCTTTATATAAAAGTCATATATCTTAAAGGAACGACATGTTTCAATCCATATTGGGTCACGAAAAAGTGGATCTATACTTCCAATCCCCTATATGCCTTCATGGCTTAGTGTTTACTTCGTTAAGTACAGGGACAACTTTATTTTTAACTTTGTTGTATCATCATCAGTTTTCGGTTAATTTTAAGGTGATGAACTTGTGCCCAATATGGATTCATATTTTGGGTTGTCTATATATTATACAATATCACATTGTAGTTAGTTAGTTAGTTATTGGAGAGGGTGGGTTTCCCCATGCACTGAGACCTGTATTGGTCCATTGTGCTTCCCTCTATGATTTCTACCAGTCTCTATATCCTACCGGTACTGGTGCTTACCATCAGTCCCGCCCAGCCAGCGAGACCGGCTCTACTAGCTGAGAGGTATCTATAATGCTTCCCCCATCTACCAGAGGTATTAGAGACTGCTGTTGGGCGGGAAACGTCCGTAATTTGGCTCAGTGACCTCCTTTGGAGACATGAGGTTCTTTTACGTGCCGTAAAGCTACGACACGGGACCCACGGCTTAAAGTCCCTCCCGGAGGACTTGTTCCCTGAATTTTTCCGCCCTTAAAAATTCGACGACCTCCGCCGGGTATTTGAACCCGCGTACTACGAGTCATGAGGTGGGAACGTTACCTCTAGACTACGGAATCACACTTGTAACAAGATATTCAGGGTTATGTACTACTTGAAAAGCAATTGGGCTGAGACTGGATACATCCAGTAAGATGTTAAATTAAAGCTAAAATTGAAACTTATTAAAATTACATTATATAGGTATATATTATTTCTCAGGTACGTTGGAAGTTCTAGGTTAGATCTTCTTTGGGGATTATGTATCTGCTTATGAGACTGTTATCTCTCGTTTGATTGGGGTTGTAAGGTCGGTGTGGTAATACTGTTACTGAGACGTCATCGTCTTAAAGTACAAAATATTCTCTTTTTTTTTCAATGGATGCATCTTATTGTGTTAAATATATAAATGTCTTTATTAAAATCCGTCACAACACAGCAACAAAGCAGTTGATGTTTAACAGTATTTTGCTACATGTTTCAGCTTTTTTATTTGCCTGATGATGGCTTTCTAAAAAGCCGAAACATGTAGCAAAATACTGTTAAACATCAACTGTTTTGTAAGATTTGAGGTTTTGACGGCGGTGTCTATGAAGAAAGCAGTCTTCTGGGATGTGGCACGTGTAGATGTGGTCTGTGTAGATGTGTGTAGGTGTAACTGCGGTCTGCTGGGATATTTCGTACATGGACACCAAAATTTTCGGAGGAAGATGATGTTTTCTTCTGCATGGTCGATCCATGGCATTTATTACTGTGTATCAAATTACAGTTTCTCGTCCCATAAGACCTTAGTTTTAATATTCACTTCCCTGAGAATCTGATATCAGAGGGTCGAGTTCTGCTCAGGTTATGTTGTTATGTTGAGATGTACTGTGCAGGTACGAGCATTAAGAGGGCCCATAGCTCCCGTAAAAAGCTTTACTAAGTACTTCGCGGATCAATATTTTCAGAATTAATTCTGAATCTAAATAGATCAGAGGGTCGTATCTGTGATAGCTAAAGAATAAGACATTTTAATATCCAGTCAAATTTTCTTTATTCTTTTGTAAATTTTGCTCTAAGTATTCAAAACAATATCAACGTTCCCTTGATAATCTGCTTTTCTGTCCACTTGCTATTTGTAGATGTAATCAATTTCCATGTTTAGTGGTGGTTATATTGAGGCAAAATATTTCCCTCATAACTTGTTATCGTCTGTATACTTATATGGGTTTTCTAGAAAGAAATTAAGAAATTTTCTTTCTGTGAGGTTTTAAAACGAAAAGTTGAAACTATCCCTGTAACACACCATGGAGGTCCATGGGGTTCTGAGACGTCGAGGCTCCCACAGTTTCTAGACAGTCGGCTTATGCTGTAGATGGCGTCAAGGTTGTCAGCCTTAAGCCCCAGCAGCCCTTTACTCCCAGGAAGACTCACAGTACTCATTTTTGTTTGAGGCTAAGTCGACCCCATGGGCACAGTGCGGCTGTAAGAATTAGGTAAATTAAAAAATAAAATGATTTCTTCGGGAATCGAACTAGCAACACTCGGGCTTGTAGCGTAGTGCCTGAACCAAATACCCTAGCCAGTGCCCCTATTAAAAAGAAATCGTTAATATATTCCATTTTCAAATTAGATTACTACTTACTTACTTACTTATGGACCTGAGCCCTTCTTGAGGAGAAGCCAAATCTGCGACTACTCAAGAAATCCCAGCATTTTATGGAACCCGGAGGTTCATTACCGTGTTCACAAGAGCCCTCCACTGGTTTAACCCAAGCCAGATCAATCCAATCCATACCATCCCATCCTATATCTCTGAGATCCATTTTAATTTTGTCCACCCACCTACGCTTGGTCTTCCGAGTGGTCTCTTTCCTTCTGGCTTTCCCACCAATATCCTATATGCATTCATCTCCCCAATTCGTGCTACATGTCCTGTCCACCTCATCCTCCTTGACTTGATCATTCTAATTATACCTGGAGAAGAGTACAAGTTATGAAGCGCCTCATTATGCAGTATTCTCCAACCTCCTGTCACCTCATCCCTCTTCGGTCCAGATATTCTCCTCAACACCCTGTTCTCAAATACCCTCAGTTTTCAAATTAGATATCAGTAAAAATATATAGGTTAGCTTGAGAAGAGTAATGACCCTTTAAACAATATTTGCTACACATGGCAACTGGTTTAACATTAAGAACCTGTGCTCTTTCCCCACACACTCTGTGTGCGAGTTTCTTATGAATAGGAACATCAATTATTTCAGTGCCAGTATGAAACTGAAGGTGGCTGACAACCTGAAAATCTGCTGATAGTGAATTTAACCATCTGATCTTTATAATGAAGACACAATGTGTTTTCTTTTGAGTTGAAAACTGAATATTTAAGTAATGTTCAGAAGAGATTTGTGCATCAAATTTTAAGAGAAATTTATTCGTACTTAATACACTTGGCCGTCGACTTACGAGCGACTTCCGTTCTGACTGACAGGTCGTAAGTCGATCTGGTCATATGTCGGCCATATACTTATTAACAGTATTTTTTAACCTTTCTAATCTTTTTGTCATCTTTATAATTTATTTTTTAAACTTATACATTTTAATCATCTTTTATTTTTCATTTTTTTTGTGGTCGTAAGTGCGGCCGGTCGTAAGTCGACGACCAATAGTAATAATATTAACAATAATATAGTTGAAATAGTAGTGGTGGTGGTGGTGGTGGTGGTAGTAGTAGTAGTAGTAGTAGTAGTAGTAGTAGTAGTAGTAGTAGTAGAGTAGTAGTAGAATCAGTTTCAGTATGCATTCCTTTCGAGTCAATTTGTGGAGGCAAAGTCAGTAAAGCGTGTGAAATTTTAACAAAATATGGCATGTTCTAAAGTTTCGAGCATCTGTAACGCCGAGGAATACGAAATGTATGCTCAGGAAGAAGATAAAATATTTTTCAGGATTTCAGATTTTTCAAATTCACTAAAATGAACCTGTATCAGAACGTTCAGTTTTTAACGTATTGCGTCAATAAAATAACCATAATTACCGAGGAACTGTACGATTTTACCATAAAATAATGAAGAATTTTGGGGTTTAAAATGACCTTCTTTAAAACTATCTGATATTCCATCTTACATGCAACATGCCTTTAAAACTTCATTTAAAAGTTACTACATATACATAATGAGTCTTTTAAGCTAATTTAAAACCACACTGTCCGCTACATGTTTCGACCGTCATTGGTCATCATCAGGTGTTTTGAAACTGTTGGTGGAGACCGCTGTGCTTGCGTTTTGTGCTTCTAATGTTCGGTGTGTAGCCTCTTCATGTATTCATGTTCCCATCGCGCTGGGTGTTTCTTCCTGCTGCGTAGTGTGCTCAGGAAACTTGTGTTTCATGTGCAACAGAATGCTTACAACATAATTTGCATACATATCTATTTCCCCATCTTAGATTCCGTAGACTTGTTATTTTAACTAACTCTTCTCGGTTTCAGATTCATCATATCTTGTGGGCTATTAAATACTATTAGACCAAATTCCACCCAAGGAAATTTCAAATATTAACATTTTTAGACCAAGTAATAGACAAATTGACTTGAAAGGATTCTGACGATGGTGTATGCTGTACAGAACTGTAAGGTTTATTTTGGACTCTATCCATCGTCTGGTATATATAAGACGATGGATAGAGTCCAAAATAAGCCTAATAGTTCTGTAAAGTAATAGACAGTAATTCTGGCGTCGCCTCATAAAAAACTACTAAACATCAGAGGGTGTTAAAGAAGCTATTTATTCTATTTTATAATAGTGATGTGATAGGCTGGAGATTTTATGAACAGCCTGTAACTCATCTTAAGTGAAGGTGTTAATGTGTTCATAAGATCGCGAATAGCAAAAACAAGAGGAAGGCTAAACGTTTTATGAATGACTGTGAGCAAGTCGGGGACCTTAACACATAAAATAAGTCAAAAGAATTGTAAACATGATTCTTACAGTTCCACATTGCATATGGGCACGGACGAAGAAAAAACAGAAAGCTAATAATGAAAATGACAACTAGCAACGGTACCCTTGAGTTAAAAAATGAGCTATTAATAAGTGATTTGTTATTCTTGATATTGTCACGTAGTATGTGTGACTCCTGTGGTTCTGTATGGGTGTGAAACTTGGTCTCTGACATTAAGGGAGGAACACAGACTGAGGGTGTTTGAGAACAGGGTGTTGAGAATATTTGGACCGAAGAGAGATGAAATGACAGAAAGTTGGAGAAAACTGCATAATGAGGAGCTTCATAACTTGTACTCTTCTCCAAGTATAATTAGAACGATCAAGTCAA